AAACTATAGAGAAGAAAAAACTTGGGTGGTGAGAAATAGAGAGAGAGATAAGAGAGAGAGATAAGAGATAGAAATAGAGAAAAAGGAAGAGTTGAACGAGTGACATGAATATACAAACAGATGGTAACTTAAACAATATGCAAGAAATTACATAACTGGGGCTTAATCAAGACGTGTCTTGATGAAGTGCTGAAATAGAAATAAAAAACATGGAAAATTGTAATTAGTCTTTTTTCAAGTTCACTAACAGCATAAATATAAATAGATTGCGAAGAAAAATCGCACCTGAACAGTCTAATAGAGGTCTGAAATAAACATTTTGCAAAAAATAATCAAGAAATAGCAACTTTGAAGCCTTTTGAATCAGTAATGGCTTAATTAACATAGTTGGCGCTAGTCTTTATCAAGGAAATCTTGTTAAAATCCAATAAACCCATGTTCCAGTTTTGTTTCTTTTCCAGTTTTAACATTTGTGTTTTCTCGTTTTTCTTTCTCTATTCAGATCAGCCAGTCATTGCCAGCCATCAATCCTCGTCCATACAAGTTCTAAATCAACGAACCTACACTATGAACATGACGGACAAAGAAAGCGGACAAAATATACAGAACATCCCTTCACTGCTATATGTAAAAATGTGTAGAACAGGTGTCACATGCATATTCACCTGTTTTACTCAGTTTTACATAATAGCAGTGAAGGGATGTTCCTTTGTGTACCTGAGGAACTGTATATTTTGTCCTCCTTCTTTGTCCGTCATGTTCATAGTGCTAACAAGTGTCAGAATGAAGACGGTAGTAGTAAGTTGGTGTTCTTGCTCGTGCTCGTCACGACTATTCACAAAAACGTCGAGCACTGGAAAACAATTTGTGAGACATGGGGGAGTCCAAGTGAGATCAACGGGACCAACATCATCACGCTGTTCCTTCTTGCCAAACCTTCCAAAGGCAATACAGATTACCAAAGCATCGTGAAAGAGGAAAGTGCTTCATACCATGACATCATCATGAGTGACTTTCAAGACTCCTACAAGAATCTTACTTTGAAGACTATTATGGGTATGAAGTGGATCAGTCAATTCTGCCCACACGCAAATTATGTAATGAAAACAGATGATGATATGTTCGTCATTCATGAAAATCTTGTCAGATATCTGTCATCGACTTCTATTCCACGCAATAACTTTGGGAGCTGTATTGTCATACGGGCCAAACCTAACCGAATTGTGGGACACAGGTGGCATGTTCCTAAAAGTATTTATCCAGGAGAGTGGGGGCGTATCCAACCGCTCACAGACAGTTTCATAACTACCGCGTGGAATACTCTACATGTGGATCCAAGAGACTTTTCACAACCCACTACTCTATAGCTAAAAACTCTGTCAGATACAATGTATGAAGCCAAATGGAGAAAGACAAACAAATTCACTGTTACTTTAATTTTTGGTATTTTTATATGCCAAGACCAAATATTTGGCTGTTTATTTGGAAATTCAGAGAACATGATCAAATCTATAGATCAACCAGTGCAGAATGGTGTGTGATAATTATCCCCTCGACGGATAAAGTAACATTGCCGTCCGTCCTTCCATTCGTCCTTCAGTCCTTAACAAATCTGGTTTCCGTACGATAACTTTAGTGATGTTTTACGGTAATACATTTTACATAATGAATGAAATCAAAATAAACAGAGAAAAATGTAATTTATTTGGAATTTTTGGTATGAATTTGTTCACTTAGGTTTCTCTTTGAAATTTGTATTGTTGTAAACTGATGCTATGCAGACCATGAGCAGTGTTGCTGTCTAGTACCCTATTAACAAAGTTTTGAACAGCAATATAATTTTTTGGGAAGTGGAAACTAAACTAAAAGCAACAATATTGATGACAGTTGATGAAACTCAGTAGGACATGATGAATTAAATAAGGTAAAATATGATGGAGAGAGGGGGAGCAAGGAAAAAACAACAAGGGAATAAAAAGAGATTTTTAAAAGAAGACATGAAAACTAGAGAAGAAAATATGTGTGTGGTGAGAAATAGAGAGAGATAGATTGATGAGAGAGAGAGAGATAGATTGATGAGAGAGAGAGAGATAGATAGATAAGAGAGAGAGAGAGAGAGAGAGAGAGAGATAAGAGAGAGAGATAAGAGATAGAAATAGAGAAAAAGGAAGAGTTAAATGAGTGACATGAATATACAAACAGATGGTAACTTAAACAAGATGCAAGAAATTGGCTTAACAAGACTCGTCTTGATATGACGTGCTGAAATAAAAATTAAAAACATGGAAAATTGCAATTAGTCTTGTTTCAAGTGCACCAACAGCATAAATATAAATAAATTGCGAAGAAAATTTACACTTGAACAGTATATGGAGGTCTGAAATAAATATTTTGCAAAAAAATAATCAAGAAATAGCAACTTTGAAGCCTTTTGAATCGGCAATGGCTTATTTACCATAGTTGGCGCTAGTCTTTTTCAAGGAAATCTTGTTAAAATCCAATAAAACTAATTAGCGGATTATCTCATTAACGGGTGTACGAAATTTGGAGAACAAAAGTGTTTTCTCATCAGCAACTTCATCACAATCATTTAGTATAGTTAGATTTCTCTGCCAATGATGGGACTACGAAACTTTTTTTTTAGATGTGTAACTGGCCCTTGCCCCACAGTCTATTGGTATAGGCCTACTTTTTACCCTTTTATTCTTTTTCTACTCTTGTTATTAATATTTAATTCGATAGAATATTAACCTTTTGTTTGCTATTTCATATATCATTTTGAAATGTTTTTTTTTATTTGTAACATATAATAAAACTTGAAGATTAAAAGAAAAATTAAATTAGTAATTTGTAAACGAACTGATGCAAACTATTTTACGCTTTAACTTTCGTTTTCACTTTCATTATTTATGATTATTGTTTTTCATTCATTCCCATATATATCCTTATTCTCATTATCCATTTCCCGTCCAGTTTCTTACGAATACTGTTCTCAATCCTCCCATTCTCATTTTTCATATTTTCACTCATCTCTAATTAGAACTTGTTCCAAATCAAAACATGAGTAACAATAATTGTTCAATTTGGCTTAACATACATTATTAAAACTACATGTTCTATTAAACAAAATTATCAACAAAATGATATTTTGCATGGATGATACAAAGAACTTCAGAGAGGTCCCAGAGGTCTCAGTGAAAATATACAAATATTGACTGCTCATGAGGATGAAATTATCATTTCCAAGGTGGTGTTCATACCGGTCCTTCTATCACCCAAGGCAAAGCCGAGGGGGTATAGAAGGGCCAGTATTTGAACGAAATCGAGGGAGTGATAATTTCCACCACCATCCAATTACAGAGCAGTCCTTATTTTTTTTGTTTATCCCTCATACTTTCATTAACAGGTCAGTAGAAAAGAAATCCAACATCAAGAGTCTATTCAACATATTTACAGTCTTTCGGAGTTCAAAAGTTTCAAATAACCAACGCTAAACGAAATCAAACATACGGAAATCAAATCTATACAGTGTAGTGCAGTAACTGCGGCGCAGTAAAACGATGGCTTGAGCGCCGTGATGACCCGCCTGAGTTGGGCGCTGGAAGGCATTTGAAATCCTGTATGCTCTGTGTGTGTGCATAAATCGCAGATTGGTTAGGCGTACTATCACAGATCTATTTGCGTTATTATTGTTGTTATTTCGAGGTAGTTTTCATGAAAAGACCAATAACACAGAAGCTTGGACTATGCATATGTTGGCATAGATCACAGAATTTGTACAATTATTTTCAGAGTAACGATTTTACGCGAAAATAGGTCCATGGTTTGCGTCAATTGTCGCAATCGCCACGACTCAAATCGAGTGTGTGAAAGTGTGTGAAGGTGAGCGTGAAATACACGTACACTATGGGCGCCTGGCCTAAAAAGCATATCCTATAGAAAGACGCATAACACGGGTAAGCCCAACCCGTGAGAGCGTATATTTCTTACACCCCCTTACCCGCGTGAGTCATCTGTTAATGTGTATTTCTCTTACACGCTACAAAGCAAATCATATAGCAAGAGGCCTTACTCGAGATACGCCGCAGCCTTTACAATAAGACTTGCTACACCCGTTGATGCGAGTGGATTCTCGTCCATCGTGTATCTCTTCGTCTCTCTTTGATAATTAGACAGAGGGCGGGTGCACGCCTTGCCGACTCGCTCTCGCGGGTTCGTCGCCTCCTCGCAATCCGCGACGCCCGCCGTGCTCTCGTCCGCCCGTCCTCCCCGGCCGCCCCGAAACCGCGTTTAACGGCGTGGACGTCGATCGCGGGGTCGACGTGGCACGCGGGTTACGGGAGACAGGCCTCGTGGAATTGTGCCGCCCTCCCCGCGCCACGGCGGAGGCGGGCGGGGTCGGGGAAAGACGTTTTTGAGGAACCGTTTTGGCCCGTGTTGGACCCCCCGCGGCGATTTTGCGTATTAGTAATATAGATTCCAAAAAATCTTGAACAAAACCAGGCTCTATCAGTCTCTGGCTGTGTCAAATACGAGGAGCAGGAGCAGCTATAGTACAGAGCCTATGGGGTGCACTAGACCGTGCAGTCAGCATAATAGTTCAGACACTCTGTTTTAAACTACGTCTGACAACGGTTTGTGCCTGTCATCTGGTCACCATCACCATCTCATTCAGAGGCGTACATGTAGCGCCCACGATGTTATTACAATTAGGATTGGGGGGGGGGGGTGACCAGACACCTAGCTTTTTTAACACAGTAACATGCACCAAATGATTTAGGAAAACGATACATTAAATTGCGATGAAACTTATAGATATTTGTCATGTACATACTATCAACAACATATCATTTGAATGTTTCATGAAAATTTGAATATAAAGATCTTTATACAGATGCAGTTTAGGTATGTGTCTGGACAACCAACCTGTCCGGACACTCAACTCAACTTGTGGGTACATGTCATATCATAACAGCTTGTAGGGTATATATATATCTTACCGTCAATCTCGTTCTCGTATCCAATCTCCTTCTCTCCCTCGACGTACCCGTCCACATTGTAGATATGCTCCTCCTTGGTGAAAGTGAGCTCATCAAGGGCTATCTTGGCCCTGGCAAGTTCCTGATCGGCAAGCATCTCATGCTGCAAGAACAGAGGGTAAAGTCAAGATGGTTAAAATGTTCTATATTGGTTTTGGTGACGTCCTGGTTAAATATAGACTTTCATGATGCATGATGAAGGATATCAAGATATAGTTAAGACGTTCTATCTTGGCCTTGTCAAGTTCCTGATCGGCTAGCCCCTCATGCTGCAAGAAATGAGAATAATATAAGAGAGATGGGTTAAAATGTTCTATCTTGGTTTTGGTGACATCCTGGTCAGCTAGACTCTCATGATGCAACGAGCAAAGAAGTTCAGATAAGAAGAAATAATAACGGTGTTCCATCTTAGCTCGTGCAAATTCCTGATTGGCCAGCCTCCCTTTCCGACATACATTGAATTGAATTGAATTGAACTTTATTTCATTTATCATAAAAACATCATGTAACAAACATATGAAATACAAAACATAGCGTACAAGGTAAAGAGAAACATTTACAATACAACAACAAAAATAAATATGAATGTGGAGACAGCTAGGAAAGCCAAAGGCTTTATTGGTGTTGTCACAAAAACAGTAATAAAGTATAATACAGTATTAAATTGTTGTTTGAGAGTGTGATACATGTACAAGTATATAAAAATCTTTCAATAAACAGTCAAATTCATCTATTGAGGCTTAACAAGGGAAACAAAGAAAGTGGCCACTGTAGACAGGTGGTATTTATAGAGAAGAGGCCACTAAGACAGGTTTGGCTGTATACAAACTTAATATGGTTACATCTTGCATCCAACACTATTATGAATTAAAATACAAATTTATCTGTCCAATGCTGACTGCACACATGATTTGTTTTTCTCCCAGTTTAAGTGTGTTTCATGCAATAAACATAAGGAAAATCAAATATCTCATTCACTTAGTATGTAAATGAGTCTTTCAGGTCGGATATTCAGGTGCTGATCTATCAAATTTAGCTGACAAAGATGAATATCAGCGACCTTTATTTTTACTCCTACTGTTATTGTCTGGTATAACTTCCTGTGGTTTGTCTAGTCAAGCAATTATTGACATAGTTTAGTCTCTAGAGGAAACAGCATGCCCACCTTCGCAAGGCTGGTAGCAGCACTGACAAACAACAAGGAGATACACAATTTGGCTCTGGAAAGCTCAAAAAGTGTTCTGGTAAACCGAAAAACACCTCTGAGCACAGTCATAAAGACTTTCAAGAAATCAAGTAAAGGACAGTATTCAGATTATGTAATATTGCATTACAATGTTCACAATACAAAATGATTGAAAGTGCCATACATATTTCTTAGAAAGTTGTTGAGGTTGGAAGTCTGGTAAATTCAACAACAAAAATACATGAAGTTGCATTAAGAAAATCCCATTTTTACAATTACAACATCAGTGCTTCTTTTTAAGTGTAGAGATAACTGGAATACTGATTTGATAGTATTTTTGTTATATAAATCATATCAGCATAAAGGCATACTTTGTCAACTTTCTCAATTAAGCACTTTAAAGCTTATCTGCCATAATTTACATGAGGGATTAGACCGCTCTGCAAGGTCACTGGACAGGTGGTTATCTCATCAACTCAGCTCTCAGTTAACATAAGAAAAAGAGGATCATGGGGGACCAATGGTCACCGATTAGGCATTGTTTGTTATATAGAGGGCGCAAGTAGCTACCAGTAGTGCAGTGGGCCTCTAAGAATAATATCATGCACTATTCCAACACTACCTTTCATTTGTATTTACTTTAGATCTTACTTGAAACTGTCAAATAGTAATTACCCGTATAAACTGCTTGAAAATTTATTTACATCAGTTATGAGCCAAACTAGGAGGGATAATTATTACAAGAGGAAGAATTTCAAAGGAATGCCATGAGATTGCCACAACCACGTCAAATATTTAATAGTACCTTTAAACTTTGGTTTTAAACTAATGGCCTCTCTTCGCTTCCTGCTGGCAACTTTATGGGTTTTTCCGGAAACTGGGGCTATGCAGGCTTGTATCAATTAAAAGGTATTGACTCATTTCAATATTAGCACATTGGATGTAGTAAGCTGTATCGACCAATCCTCTCCCAACTGGGCTCCCAGTATTTTGAAAGTATACTGTAGTAACTTTTCGGTAGAAATTGAAAGAGGCTTATAATTGACTACATATTGTATGAATCTTTAACCAGGGAATACATGTATGTACCCCCTTATTCACACTGTCCTCCCCCTTGGATCCACAATAGATTAAGGAGAGAGAGAGAGAGAGGGAGAGAGAGAGGGAGGGAGAGAGAGAGAGAGAGAGAGAGAGAGATGAAAATGATGACAGATGAGTAAATACAATACATGTACATGTCTCCATCATCAGTGAAATATAAAAAAGGTCCATACTGTACTATAGCTTGCAGGTCTATGTGCATTACATAGACAGGCATCATTTGCGAAACAAACTGAAGACCAATACACGTACATGTAGCCTGCAGAGTGAAGACATGTAATACATGTAGGCCATACCAGTAGGAAAAGGCCAAGGGCAAAGGATGGTAGGCTGGTTCTAATTGCATGACCACTGGTAACAAATGAGCAAGAGATGTGGCTCCCCGCCAGGTATAGCTCCCCACCAGGTATAGATACGGTCAATATCACAGGGGGGAGGGGTCAATTAAACTGACTTGCCCACTTGACGTTGAAATATATTTGAGCCTAATTCGATAGCAAAGACTATTCAAACATCATTGTATTAACTATATATACAAACATTGTTCTGAACTTCTGATCATGCAACACATTGTAATATTTACTAATTTCAAAAGGTGATAAACAAGGCTAATCTTTGTGTCATGTTACCTATATAATAAAACAAAACTTCAACAGTTAGACAAGAGAACATTAAAAATTTATTTCCTTCATTTTTAGGATGAATCAGGATAAAAATGTATTTGTTTCATATTTTGACAATTTTATATGGCAATTATATTAAAGTCATGTACATTGCATTTATCAAAGACTAAGAAAGCACCAAATGTCAAATTCTCATACATGTACTCACTTTCAAAGTAAAAGTTGGCAAAAGACAGCAGTCACCAGTGACAATTATGGTTTGGATTGTATATTTGGAAACACATACCGAAACTCAAAGACTGAGACAGTATACAAATATCAAATTCAATAATTTTGTCTATATTTTCAAAGACATATATATGGTTAGCAATTGCTACCACTTACAATTCTAATTTGGATTGAATATTGGAGCAATTGTTACACTAATTGTATACATTGTGAGGGCAAAGCAGAACATAGTCTAAAGATATAAAGATCTGCATTTAGATTTCATCTTCATAAAGGATGAGATCATTTCTAAATTTGTTTCTTACTGGCTCATATAATAAAACAGGACAAACCGGTAACACCCATAGATTTTGACCTCTCACAACTGATGACCCTGATGGCAGGGCTTGCCATCTGCTTAATAGAAGTATGGATCAGATTGCACAGACTCAGGTAACTTTCTATTGAATAGTGGTGCAAAGATAAATGCACATATTTCTCAGTAGCATGTACTAAGCGTTAGATGGTACCCAGTAGGATGCAAAAGTTGTTAGTGTATGTTCAGCCCAATTTGTGTCTGTAAAAATGACACCTGGCTGGAAATGTTCTCTAGGAAGTGGAGAATGTGCATAGATTATGTGCAGGCAGATCTAAATCTGATGATCGAGTCAATATATAGGATTCCCTGCAAAGCTTTTAACTAAGACATCATATAAGTATTAAAAGCTAGCTACATAAACAAAAATATTAGTATCAATATGCCAACCCTATCTATTTTAGGCCTTCAAATATGAAATCCTAATTATAAATAAATTTGCATTTAACCTAGCTTTATAAAAAAGGAAGAATCTAGCAAAAGGGGAAATTCACATAAATTGGTAGGCCTGTAATACAGTTGGATGTCTCAAGGATGACTTTAATGCACATGTTCTTCCATAAAACCAGATTCTCAGTGAAACATGATCTGATTAAAATAATAATAATAATAATAATAAGATATTTGTATACCGCAAATTGCAAATTGCCTCTAAGCGGTTTAGAAGAAAATAGCTGATAAGTAAAGGAAACAGAATTTGCATTACAAATTATATCAATTTAAATTACCATTAAAACTTTGCAAATGAAAATAATACATGTACATAATTACAAATCACTTACAACCAAAATACAAATAGTTCATAAATTAATAGTATCCTACGGTAATCTACACAAAATATTCAAAGGCAAAAGGTCAAAAGAGCTATTCAGGAACAAGACTTAAAGAGATGTGTTTTTAGCATTGTTTTAAATGAATTTACAGAGCTAGCATTGCAAATTTGAAGGGGGAGATTGTTCCAAAGAAAAGCAGCTGCATAAACAAAAGAACGTTGACCATATTGTTTGTATGAAATATTGTGAGACCGAGAGAAGAGAGATTGAGAAGCAGATCGCAAAGTCCGGACAGGAGTGTATCGAGGAAGGAGTTCAGAAAGATATGAAGGAGCGAAACCATGATAAGTCTTGAAAGTAAGGAGGAGGATTTTGTAGGTAATGCAAGAAGTGATAGGAAGCCAGTGAAGTTTTTGAAGAATTACAGGGGTACATGTATTGTGAGAAGTACGAGGAACACAAGATTGGTCAAAGTTAATTTCATATTCAAAAACTCTAGAGTACATGTAAGGACATAGTGGCTAAGAATGTCAGAGTTACACATCAGTGATGAATGATGATTGTAATAATTTCAAGATGACAAAATAAATCATTTAGGAGCAAAGTACTGGGGCCCGTTCCTAGAAACCGTCATAAGTCTAACTTCTTGACTATCCCATTTAAACGTGTGATATACATGTAGAATTAACACGCGTTTCAACGGGATAGTCAAGAAGTTAGACTTATGACGGTTTCTAGGAACGGGCCCCTGTATTCCAGAAAAGGAATTATTAGCAGAACTCAGTTAACACTGAACACATACAGGTACAGATAAACATATTGTTTTAGAAAAATTGTCATTGTGTTATATCATTTTGAAATTTGCTTGGCCATTTGCACAATATCTGTACTAGTACATATACATAGTTGTAGGAATTCCAGAACTACTCTATTTACAACAATTTATGATCATTAATATGACCTCATAGATGCTGTGACCCCAAGCCGAGCTGGAAGAGACATATGGTTGGTATTTGCACAACAGTGCATGTACATGTAGTCAGTACCAATATGAATGGAGTTGGGCGAGTCAAAGCTAGTTTGTCCCATACGCTACCAACAGCATCTAAGATTTGAGTATACCCATGGTAGGGTCCATGCCATGGTATTAAATTTATATCCCTCCTAGAGCTAGGATCAGACCAAAACAGTCACTACATATCAGGATAAATGATGATCTTGATGTTCATAAGACAATCTTGTAAGCAAATACTTTGAACTTGCCCAGGAGTAGTCCTATAGGCCTACATGAAGTTTAGTTACAAGATCGATGGGAGTATAAAAATACATGGAGCACAAAACTGCATATACTGTATCCACTATCCCTTGTGCCTAAATCATCTACAATTTATTCTAAATCAGATATTTGTATTCCTTAAAGTAGTCATACAGGTAAAACCTCAATGTTATATATTCATATCCATTTATTTGATATAGATAGGGCAACAACGAAAACTCTGCTTCTCTGTATATGTACATCATCTATTTCAACAATCTCAGTTGAAATAGTATCTCTCCACAGTGCGAGCTAGAACAGTTGAATCAATGGATGGTACAGAGTAGACTACATTTTAACTCAATTTTGCAAGTGTGGCTAAAATCATTCTGGAAAGTCAGAGTGCACTTCTCGTGGGAATAAAGTCATCATGTCATTGAATAACAATCAACCCTCCTCGTTTAAACTTGCAGAACTCTCAGAGAAAACTTTATGCAATGCAAGGTGGCAAAGAAATCAGTAATCAAGATCGAGCCTCCCATTGGCAAGTGGGTTAATGATGGTCTTGACCTTACACCTTGAACCTACATTTAACAGGGGCAGATCAGTTTATAAAAAGCAGGGGCACTTTCTAGAAAGGAAAAATATCCCAATATTTGAAGAAAAAAAATAGCAATTCTTTGGGTAAAATTATGAATATATTGTTGTTTGTACATTTTAAGAAAGAAGTTTGTATAAGGAAAAGGGGGAATATATGGTTCATGACAATTGTATGAAGTGAACCCCCCCCCCCCCCCCCCCTCCTCCAAAAAGAAGAATGGTTTACAGCTTAGTAGCACAGTGGCAGGCCTGAACAGGGGCATCCAATTTTGGAAAGGGGCTTCGGGAGCCCCGAGATGCTGAGAAAAGTTTGTTGAACGGGTGGGGCAATGTACCTCCCTAGATCTAAAATAACTGCATCTGACCATGGACCTACAATGACTTTCTTCAAGCTAGAACAATAGAGTTATTCACAACAGAAATTTAGAGTAGAGGGAACAATATACAGGAACATGTATCCACATTAACAAACATAAAAGTAATATTGAAAGGTGTAAGATGAAAATGAACATAGATTGTACAATTTCATGTAACGGAATGAAATTTAACTATGGTACTATTCTAATAAAGATGAAAGTTTCAGTGTCATTTTCATGATGAGAGAAATAGCCATATGTTAAGAATACTATACTCATAATTAAGATTTAAAAAAGACAGACAGGAAGAAGAAAGGAAAATGGTAAAAAGGCTAAGATCATTCTGACAATCAATAAAAATGAGGCAGTTAACTGCAGCAAACATTAACAAATCCTTGATTCAGTAGAGGAATAAGGCAGAGAGAGTGGGGACAGTGAAGGGGGTGATGCAGTTGGAAAATAACATACCTAAGAAGGGTATCAAAATGATAGCAGTGACAAGATAAGAGCCCACAAATGCCCAGATAGATGAGAGCAATGATAAGATGAAGCAGGAAAGAAGGGCATGTACATGTACATGTGTAGGAGTAGAAAGGAGAAAATTGATAATGGTTCTATCTTATAAACTATTAATGGCAGATGATGTTGATGAACATAGATACATTTTCTTAATACATGTACATGTAGTTCTGTTGGACAACATGATCATAGTGACACTATGGCAGTGGCTTTCATGAAAAGTAAATTTTTGATAATGAAAAATGAGAGCGATGAAGAAATTCTTTGATCTTAATAATGATGAAAGGGTGGTGGTGATACAGTGGTAATAGGAATGTACAGTCATATGGTACTATGGTTAAGGTATGAAAATGATACTAGGATGATGATGAGAATAATGATGATGATGATGATGATGATGATATACCAGTAGTAATAAGTGTGATGAAGAACAGGAATTGGTCTGATTCCATGAATGATGATTCAAGTGATGGTGATGAAGTTCAGGATGAGAATAGGGATGATAGCTGTTTTAATGTGTTAATGACCTAGGGGAGATGATGGAGATATCAATTGATTGGTACTACTGCATGGTAGACTGATAGTGGTCCTTAAATGTGTGGTTACTGTGATACTGAAGATGGCAGTACAGAGTCAGTATATTCTCCACTGAATAAAAGAGGTGCTTGGGTCTTTGGGATAAAACTGATGAAGATGATATTGGTTGTGAAGGTGGTATAATTATTGCGGTGATAACATTGTTTTGATGACCACATGAATAGATCAGTTTACTAGCATATTCAAATTTTCAAATATATTCAAAGCTTGCCTGAGAATTGCCAGACATAGCAACAAGTATTGTATGTGGACAAGATTTAAAGTATTAATTGTAGTTCAATCATTAATAACAGGTTAGTGAATACCTTGTCACTATGTCCACTGGAAAGAAACATCCATAAATTTGAATATATCAGTAACTTTTCTATTGATGGTGATGGTGGATAAGGCTGTACTAAAGTCAGAAAGGTAACTCTATTGCCTGTTTCTTCTTATTATTCTGTTATTCTGTTGAAGTACAGGCCACCATGCTGTCAGTGAATCTTCATACTTTTGGAGACAGAAGGGCTTTAACTCATATATACTTTAACAAAGATGTAATGCCCTTCTGGCTCTGAATGGACAAACTAGAGATGAGATGATTGTGATAGTAGTGAAGAGATAGAAAATAAAGTATGGATTTATTTGCATGAACTCATGTTATGCATTTTATTGCTGCATTAACAGAGTATTTATATTGTCTTGTCACTAAAAAATGCCAGTTGTTATGTTACAAGGCCAGTGTCTGGTCTCTGAACGTATACTAAGGAATAGGAGTACAGAGACTGCAAAGTCAGTGAAACTTGTTCGCATCATAATGCTTACATAATCAGTATTATGTAATATTGAAACTAAGGCCAGTAAAGGAAGTTGAGCAGACTTCTTATAACGAGGCTTACTAAAGTACTACATACTACTGTTGACCACTATGGGCAGAAAAGTACAACAGGATGCTAATCATAAGACTTTGATCATCGTGCAACAAGCTTTGTCTATAAAGTTTTTAAAAAGCATAATGAAATGAAATGTTGACACCCTTTTCGCTCTCTCTCACAAACCCCTCAACGATAATTAAGAATGAATTTGACCGTTTTATTGTCTTCATTTCTGGACTGTATCATTTATTTTAAAAACATCATCATGCATGAATAAGTCAGTAGGGCATGCATGAATAAGTCAGTAGGGCCTACATGTATACAATCACTGATATTCAAATGACATTATAGGAGAAAAGATGTCTAAATTATATTTCCAGAGTTTCAATTAGTTCAAACTCTTTAACAAGTTGTACCAAACTTGTTATGATCCTACCACATTTACATTAATTGTTTCTTCTTTATATTTTTGTTAAATATACTTGTTTACTCTATGTGCATGCTTTTACAAGGAGATGGGTTAATAAATTTAATTCAATTCAAACTTCAAGCTCATTGTTTCTTCTTGATTTCACTTCAGGAGGGAGATGTGAGTTCTAAAACTCACAAGTCACATCTCCCTGATTTCAGCATCTATTTAGTATTGGTCGATCATGCCACTTTTAGACTTTACTTACTTACTTGAATTCACAGTGCACCTGTTCCTATACCGTTACGTGAATCTAATCGAAGTGCAAAATCTACCATATTACATTCCACGCAGTGTGAAGTAAAAATCTTCAACAGACAGACTCGAGAGTTACAGAAGTTTTAACCTGGTATCTGGCAATACGAACCTTGTTTGCGATGGCCAATGATGCGAGACACAGTACAATGAAGATCTTCATCATGGAAAGTCCTCCGTAACTTCGTAGGAAGATTAGATGCAGTCAGCTAGCTGGTCCACAGACGATGATACAGAGCTACTCTGAAAAAGTAGAGGAACCGGAGCGAGATGTTCTACAACAAGGCGAATTTCCTCTCAAAATGTTCTCCCTCGAAACGTTATGACGTGGCACACTCTATCCTTGGCGGTGGGCTGATACAGGGCTAGTCTCAGCAAATTTTGATGACAGGCAATGGGAAACTGGTTTCGATAAACCCAGTCACTGCTCTAGTATGTTGACCTCTGAACCGCGCACAGCTGTACGTATACTGTGTGCATGTACACAAGAATGAGGATGCCAGACGAAAGTAATTTGTCTTCGACCGCCAATGCAAGCAGCTACCGAGAATTATTGCCGAACTTGAAAGCTAAACAATATGGGGATTAAAAAACCACTAATGCGAAACGAAAGGGCTGTAATACTTGTTAATCCCCCTACAAAGGTTTTTCAGTTTACAATTAGCTCTCTCTGATGAATGGTTGCGTAATATCCCCCGGATATCTGCTTCATTAATTAGGGCCAAATAAAGGGGAGATAAGTAACTACATGTAGCTTACAAATCAAACTTGCCAGTTTAAAAGCTTTCGTTTTTTTAATGCTATTGTTTTTAGACCTTCATGCGAATAATAAATACTAAGCCAATTATCCCCACTCATCATCTCCCTTGCTTTTTAAAAGTACGCGCAATTTGTGTTCTTCTCATCGCCACTCCCCCACCTAGTCTCTCTCTATCTATCTCTCTCTCTCTCTCTCTCTCTCTCTCTCTCTCTCACACACACACACATACACACACACGCACACCACCCCACGTACAAACACCCACCATGTATGTATGTATGTATGCATGTATTAATAGTATATAATATTCTACGTAAGAGTTATACCAGGATGCATACAGAGAGAGAGAGAGAGAGAGAGAGAGAGAGAGAGAAAAGAGATATTGAGAGAGAGGCGGGGGGGGGGGGAGGGGTAAGAGATAGATAAAAGAAAGTAAACACATAAAGAGGGAGGGAGGAAAAGGAAAAGCTAGAGAGAAGGAAGTGGATAGGAAAGAGAGAAAATGACGAGAAATTAAACTCCTAGACCTCTTTGGAAAGTCAATTTTGATTTTCAGAGTAAAACCAGTAGTAGAGGTAGGGTGGAGGGATGGTATAGGTAGGGTAGAGGGGTGGTGGAGGTAGGATGGAGGGGTGGTAGGTGAGGAGTGGTAGAGGTAGGGAAGAGGGGTGGTCGAGGTAGGGTGGAGGGTGGAAGAGGTAAGGTGGGTAGAGGGGAGGCAGGGTGGATGGAGGAGAGGTAGGGTGGATGGAGGAGAGGTAGGGTGGATGTAGGAGGGGTAGGGTGGATGGAGGAGAGGTAGTGTGGATGGAGGAGAGGTAGGGTGGATGGAGAAGTGGTGGGCTGGATGGAGGAGAGGTAGGGTGGATGGAGGAGAGGTAGGGTGGATGGAGGAGAGGTAGGCTGGATGAAGGAGAGGTAGGGTGTATGGAGGAGGGGTAGGGTGGATGGAGGAGAGGTAGGGTGGATGGAGGAGAGGTAGGGTGGATGGAGGAGAGGTAGGGTGGATGGAGGAGAGGAAGGGTGGTTGGAGGAGAGGTAGAGTGGATGGAGGAGAGGTAGGCTGGATGGAGGAGAGGTAGGGTGTATGGAGGAGGGGTAGGGTGGATGGAGGAGAGGTAGGGTGGATGGAGGAGAGGTAGGGTGGATGGAGGAGAGGTAGGGTGTATGGAGGAGGGGTAGGGTGGATGGAGGAGAGGTAGGGAAGATGGAGGAGAGGTAGGGTGGATGGAGGAGAGGTAGGGTGGTTGGAGGGGAGGTAGAGGTCAGGTGGATGGAGGGGAGGTAGGGTGATGGAGGAGAGGTAGGGTGGATAGAGGAGAGGTAGGGTGGATGAAGGAGGGTAGGGTGGATGGAGGAGTGGTAGGGTGGATGTAGGAGGGGTAGGGTGGATGGAGGAGAGGTAGGGTCGATGGAGGAGAGGAAGGGTGGATGAAGGAGGGGTAGGGTGGATGGAGGAGAGGTAGGGTGGATGGAGGAGAGGTAGGGTGGATGGAGGAGAGGTAGGGTGGATGGAGGAGAGGTAGGGTGGATGAAGGAGGGGTAGGGTGGATGGAGGAGAGGTGGGGTGGATGGAGGAAAGGAAGGGTGGATGGAGGAGAGGTGGGGTGGATGGAGGAGAGGTAGAGTGGATGGAGGAGAGGTAGGGTGGATGGAGGAGAGGTAGGGTGGATGGAGGAGAGGAGGAGTGGATGGAGGAGGGGTAGGGTGGATGGAGAAGAGGTAGGGTGGATGGAGGAGGGGTAGGGTGGATGGAGGAGAGGTAGGGTGGATGTAGGAGGGGTAGGGTGGATGGAGGAGAGGTAGGGTGGATGGAGGAGAGGTAGGGTGGATGGAGGAGAGGTGGGCTGGATGGAGGAGAGGTAGGGTGGATGGAGGAGAGGAGGAGTGGATGGAGGAGAGGTAGGGTGGATGGAGGAGAGGTAGGGTGGATGGAGGAGAGGTAGGGTGGATGGAGGAGAGGAGGAGTGGATGGAGGAGAGGTAGAGTGGATAAAGGAGGGGTAGGGTGGATGAAGGAGAGGTGGGCTGGATGGAGGAGAGGTAGGGTGGATGGAGGAGAGGTAGGGTGGATGGAGGAGAGGAGGAGTGGATGGAGGAGAGGTAGGGTGGATGGAGGAGAGGTAGGGTGGATGGAGGAGAGGAGGAGTGGATGGAGGAGGGGTAGGGTGGATGGAGAAGAGGTAGGGTGGATGGAGGAGGGGTAGGGTGGATGGAGGAGAGGTAGGGTGGATGTAGGAGGGGTAGGGTGGATGGAGGAGAGGTAGGGTGGATGGAGGAGAGGTAGGGTGGATGGAGGAGAGGTGGGCTGGATGGAGGAGAGGTAGGGTGGATGGAGGAGAGGAGGAGTGGATGGAGGAGAGGTAGGGTGGATGGAGGAGAGGTAGGGTGGATGGAGGAGAGGTAGGGTGGATGGAGGAGAGGAGGAGTGGATGGAGGAGAGGTAGAGTGGATAAAGGAGGGGTAGGGTGGATGAAGGAGAGGTGGGCTGGATGGAGGAGAGGTAGGGTGGATGGAGGAGAGGTAGGGTGGATGGAGGAGAGGAGGAGTGGATGGAGGAGAGGTAGGGTGGATGAAGGAGAGGTGGGGTGGATGGAGGAGACGTAGAGTGGATGGAGGAGAGGTAGGGTGGATGGAGGAGAGGTAGGGTGGATGGAGGAGAGGTAGGGTGGATGGAGGAGAGGTAGGGTGGATGGAGGAGAGGTGGGGTGGATGGAGGAGAGGTAGGGTGGATGGAGGAGAGGTAGGGTGGATGGAGGAGAGGAAGGGTGGATGGAGGAAGGGTAGGGTGGATGGAGGAGAGGTAGGGTGGATGTAGGAGGGGTAGGGTGGATGGAGGAGAGGTAGGGTGGATGTAGGAGGGGTAGGGTGGATGGAGGAGAGGTAGGGTGGATGGAGGAGAGGTGGGGTGGATGGAGGAGAGGTGGGCTGGATGGAGGAGAGGTAGGGTGGATGGAGAAGAGGTAGGGTGGATGGAGGAGAGGAGGAGTGGATGGAGGAGAGGTAGGGTGGATGAAGGAGAGGTGGGGTGGATGGAGGAGAGGAAGGGTGGATGGAGGAGAGGTAGAGTGGATAAAGGAGGGGTAGGGTGGATGGAGGAGAGGTAGAGTGGATGAAGGAGGGTAGGGTGGATGTAGGAGGGGTAGGGTGGATGGAGGAGAGGTAGGGTGGATGGAGGAGAGGTAGGGTGGATGGAGGAGAGGTAGGGTGGATGGAGGAGAGGTAGTGTGGATGGAGGAGAGTTAGGGTGGATGAAGGAGAGGTAGGGTGGATGAAGGAGAGGTGGGGTGGATGAAGGAGAGGTGGGGTGGATGGAGGAGAGGTAGGGTGGATGAAGGAGAGGTGGGGCGGATGGAGGAGAGGTAGGGTGGATGGAGGAGAGGAAGGGTGGATGGAGGAGAGGTGGGGTGGATGGAGGTGAGGTAGAGTGGATAAAGGAGAGGTAGGCTGGATGGAGGAGAGGTAGGGTGGATGAAGGAGGGGTAGGGTGGATGGAGGAGAGGTAGGGTGGATGGAGGAGAGGTAGGGTGGATGGAGGAGAGGTAGGGTGGATGGAGGAGAGGTAGGGTGGATGGAGGAGGGGTAGGGTGGATGGAGGAGAGGTAGGGTGGATGGAGGAGAGGTAGGGTGGATGGAGGAGAGGTAGGGTGGTTGGAGGGGAGGTAGAGGTCAGGTGGATGGAGGAGAGGTAGGGTGGATGGAGGAGGGGTAGGGTGGATGGAGGAGAGGTAGGGTGGATGGAGGAGGGGTAGGGTGGATGGAAGAGAGGTAGGGTGGATGTAGGAGGGGTAGGGTGGATGGAGGAGAGGTAGGGTGGATGGAGGAGAGGTAGGGTGGATGGAGGAGAGGTGGGCTGGATGGAGGAGAGGTAGGGTGGGTGGAGGAGAGGTAGGGTGGATGGAGGAGAGGAGGAGTGGATGGAGGAGAGGTAGGGTGGATGAAGGAGAGGTGGGGTGGATGAAGGAGAGGTGGGGTGGATGAAGGAGAGGTGGGGTGGATGGAGGAGAGGTAGGGTGGATGAAGAAGAGGTGGGGTGGATGGAGGAGAGGTAGAGTGGATAAAGGAGGGGTAGGGTGGATGGAGGAGGGGTAGGGTGGATGGAGGAGAGGTAGAGTGGATGGAGGAGAGGTAGGGTGGATGAAGGAGAGGTAGGGTGGATGGAGGAGAGGTAGGGTGGATGAAGGAGAGGTGGGGTGGATGGAGGAAAGGAAGGGTGGATGAAGGAGAGGTAGGGTGGATGAAGGAGAGGTAGGGTGGATGAAGGAGAGGTGGGGTGGATGAAGGAGAGGTGGGGTGGATGAAGGAGAGGTGGGGTGGATGGAGGAGAGGTAGGGTGGATGAAGGAGAGGTGGGGCGGATGGAGGAAGGGTGGATGGAGGAGGGGTAGAGTGGATAAAGGAGGGGTAGGGTGGATGGAGGAGAGGTAGGGTGGATGGAGGAGAGGTAGGGTGGATGTAGGAGGGGTAGGGTGGATGGAAGAGAGGTAGGGTCGATGGAGGAGAGGAAGGGTGGATGAAGGAGGGGTAGGGTAGATGGAGGAGAGGAAGGGTGGATGGAGGAGAGGTGGGGTGGATGGAGGAGGGACAGGGTGGATGGAGGAGAGGAAGGGTGGATGGAGGAGAGGTAGGGTGGATGGAGGAGAGGTGGGGTGGATGGAGGAGAGGTAGAGTGGATAAAGGAGGGGTAGGC